AGCTTCACAATAGCTTGTCTCACAGAGTAATCAAGTTTTTGGCGTTTCGCTATGGTGCCGGCTGATGTAACGTTTACAAATGTCTAAGTAAGACTTATTCTTTAGAGGAAATCAAAAAATTTGAATATAGCATACTGTTTACATTGTTTTTCTTAATTCTGTCCCTTACTTTTGGACGATCCTATTTTGAAAATAAATAAATAATTGTTATAATTCCTTTTCTATCCTTTGCAAATGATTCAAATTTTAGTATGTTATTATGGATGATAACAACTACCAGTTGTCAAAATTTCAGCTTTTCACAATTGTTATTTCTAACAAATATTAGGTTTTAAAATTTTGTCCCTTAGTTTTGGACGCTACTGTGTGTATATATATATATATATATATATATATATATATATAAAATCATTAAACATATTTTATCTCTGAGCAGATTTCCTTTACCCAGCTTGGAGTGTTAAGTTTTTTAACAATTTTTTTTTTTTATTCAAATATTTTACATAGAATCAAGTTATAAAAATTATGTGCAATTTCCACATTATGTCAGTTTTTTTAATGACCTTTTAGAAGTCAACTTTTATGGCACACCAACAAATAACAACCTATTATGTAATAAACAACAAATGTCTTTTGTATTAAACTGCAAAAAAAATTCTAACTTTGGAAATTTCTTTTCAAAATCTCACCACCAGACAATGTTTTGCTGCTTTTCATCATACCCCTTTTATGTTTACTTAATCACTTTTCTACATTTCTACAGTTAACATTTACTTCTGAATCAAAACAAAATCATTTTTATATAAATAGCAGTCTTTAGTTTTTAAGCAATTAATTTGTAATCCAACAATATTTGTTATTGCTATTAACATTATACATTGTGACTACAAATGGTTCAGTAGACATCTTTTTTTTTTGTTTGTTTAAAAAAAAAAAAAAAAAAAAGTACAAGGATGTCTACTCAAACATTAAATATAGAATTTATAGTAATAAATTTTGAGTTTGTAAAAACATTAACCAGTAGCATTAATAACAAAGAAATCAGCTAACTATTCAAATAGAAATGTATGCATTTATATGTACAAAAAATAAAATTACAAAATTCTAGATATGTTTCAATTTATTCAAGATTAAATGTACAGGTAATACATCTGGATTACACTAAATAATCACTTTCACAGATCAATATGGGCATAAGTTCCAAAATCAAGATGTATATCAACAATATTCAGCCCCCATATTATATATATATATATCTCTGGCGATTAACATAGACCGGTTCTCTGAAATGTGCACAATCATATGAATGTCAAACTGCAATACATCATTTCATGCCTCTAGCACCTTTTGACATAATACAGCAATACATGTTCAATGAGGAGTGGCAACAAGTCTGGCAACCATTCTGGTAGAGCATGCTGAGTAGATGGAAGATCATATCACCGTCTCTGTTGCTGAAATGGCAGCAGCATGGGTTGAACGTTTTGAGTATACATAGTGTTGAAATTTCCACTCTGGTCAGATGAATGAATTGAAGTTATATACCCATCATTTTTATTGTTTTGGTGTTGTCCCTAATAAATAAAATAAGTTTATCCTCCTGGAATATGAAGTTGAATACTTGCATTCACACAAAACCTATGCCTATGTTTGCTAATTTGATTTGTAAATTAATAACACATAGCTCCCCATATTATGATGCCAGGAGTTGGGTTTGTGTTTCATGGACATCTTGAAAGATAGCATTTCCTAACCCGACCCCAAATCTATGTTGCACACACAAACGCAAATCACTTGCACAAAGGCACTAAAAACTACAGTGACAATTTAATCTTCAGGTGATACTCTTGCAACATCACTAGAGATATGCACTAGGTTATTGTACTTTCTAGAAGTCTTTATTGAAGTCTTTCTAGAGGCACATGTCTTTTGTCCTGATACAACTAGAGAGCTATCAATGATCAATGTTGACACTCCTGGAATTACATTTGCTCTGATCTACACCATGGACAATGTGCAGTCTGCCATCACACAGCATCAGTTTTAGAAAACATCTGCAGCATGTGGCCACTCAGTACTTCAAGTCTACAAGTGGAGAAATGTTAATTTAACCACTGCTGTCAACAGCAAAGAACCATATCCAACACATGCAGAAAAATCTCTGAAATGATGGCTCCAGCCTCTTGAAAACCAACAGCCAAACTGAACTAAAAACAGCTCTGAATAAAAAGAATGTATGTGCATCTCTGCAGTATGAAACCTGCTTGCACTGGATTCTTTTATGACAACATTTTTAAGCAGGTTAAGATCACTGAACTAAGTTCAATGTTCATTGTCAGAAGTGAGGAATGTATAAAATATAAATGTGCAGTTAATTTAAATTTTGTTTCATTTATAAATCATTAATTAAAAAGTGGTTTTGACTCATTTGTAGCCTACCCAGCCCACCCACAAAATAATTTGAAGAAATGAAATTCCATGAGAAAAAAAAAAATTGAATTTATTACAAATAACACAAATCAGAAAATCATTTATGAAATGGTCAGTTTTTTTATGAATATATCATAACGAAGTAAATATAAAATAATTGGATGTAACAGTGGTGTGTCCCTGACATAAAAATATGTGAAAAATGGATTTTGAATTATTATGCCTGTGTGAACCTCCGATTTGATTTGCACTTGATTAAAACACACACACATATATATATATATATATATATATATATATATATATATATATATATATATATATATAAAAATTATATTCAGACTGAATATGCAAAAAATTAAGAAAACAAAAAATTTTTTTTTTTAATTTCCCATAAATTTCTATTTATGGGAAATTAAAAAAAAAAAAAAAAAAAAAAGGTTTTCACAAACATTGTCATAATATGAATATAATCTTCCAAAAGAGAATGGACTTTATTAAAAAAAATAATTCTTTACCATAAGTCAAATTCTTTAAAAAATCATTTAAGTTATATGTATTTTGCTATAAAGCAAATGTTATCTTCTTTACAATAAACAGTGATAAAAAATGAAATTCTACAATTTCTTTTGTAATACACATACATTAGCTTCAATAAATTTATAGCATGAATCTGTTATTCTGAAATAGAACTGAAAATAGACAATTTGTCTGAGACATTCAAATGTAGCATTGATGTATTTGCCATTACATTTCATGAAATGTTCCAAGTAAACTGAATTGTAAATTGAACTTGAAGATAATTTGTTTAAATCTAGAAAACTTGAGAGAAACTCCACAACACTGTTGAACAATGAAACCAAGTTTTATATGAATCAACATAGATGAATTGTAATTTTGCAGGTACAACTGCAGTGAAAACTATTACAACTGACAAATTGAAAAAGATATTTTGATTTCAGTAACATGAATTTGCAATAAATTATCAAAAGGAAATAAGAAAAGAAAAAATGGATAAAAGAAAAATGAAACCCAGATCATCTTGGTTATGCAAAAAACATTTTAAAACTAAAGTAGAAAAACATTATAAATTGATTAAATCAATAAATGCATTTCTAAAACAGATTGTGTTGCCAAGAAAATCCAAATGTGTAAATCATCCATAAAAAGTTGTCGTGTTTGTAGTTAGATTTCTCTTCATGTAGATAAAAGGGGAATAACTGAAGCAAAATTAAAATAAACGTTATTTGAAAATTGGACAATAAGGCAACTTGAGTTATGATGCTGTAATGCTCTTTAAATAAAATACCTTATATTAATATGGATAAATGAATGAGAGTTCATTACAAGTCAAAGAATCATTAGTAAATTACTGTAATAAAACTGCCAGTAAGGTTGAATAAAGTTACAGAGACCAGATTGAGGCTGTCCTGAAGACCAAAGGCAGTTTTATTGAATAAACCGTTTGTTTTTCTAAGTTGAACATGAATACAAAATGTTTTTATTATTAAATATACTGATTTTTTATATTAAATGTCATTTGCCTTTCTTTATATTATAATTTGTTTTTGATTACTCACAGCTTCATTTCAGTAAGATAAACTTTACAAAAAATATTAATAGAAATTTAATAGAAAGTCTGTCAGAGAAATGTGAAAGTACACAAGAATAGAGAAAGATGCCTTTCAGAATAAGAACCAAGTATTAAGAGATTGGGAGACATCCTTAGAAACAAAGAAAAGAATATTAGACTGCAATATAATGTCTTATCTTATGGCAATGAATGTAGGACAATTTCCTCACAGATGAAGAAACTGAGATGTGGTTCTACCAACTAAAGAAATTCTAAAGAGAATAGAAACTATTAAAAAACTGCCAATAATCTCAAAGAAACAGCTAAAACTTTGGGGATACAAAGAAAGAAGCCTTGGAGAAATTAATACTCAATGAAAGCAAAAGAAGCAAAGGCAGCAACAAGTAACTTGAATAAATGGTTAGAAGAACAAATACCAATGGGTATTTAAATAATGAAAATCTTTACCAATAGAAAATTGCAGAGTTACATAAATGGGATGAATAAAGGTCCAACTACTCCAATTAAAAAGATGACATTTCTAAAGACATAAGTAACTGCTGATTCTGCTTGTTTCAATATAAACACAAACATGACTCAATAACAATGATCAATCACTCATATTTCATTATTTTAGCACTCTTGAAAATCTGCATTTTTACCCACCAGACATGTTTATTTGTTGCTTTTTTTTGGGTTTTTTTTTTTTATTCACAACCTCAACAGATGATGTGAATCTATCAACTGTCTATACCAATAGCCATAGCAACCTCTTGGACATGTTGCCGGACAGCCTGCACAAGCACTTGGTAAATGTCCTTGCAGCCTTTAGTGGCCTGCTTCAAAACCTTTTTTAAATTGTCCTCATGTAGGCGAGAGTTCATCTCCAGCAGAACTACTTCCTCAGATTGTGGTAAGATGGCTGTGATTAGTTCAGGTATTCCAGAAGATTCTTCCAAATAACTCATATCCACCACAGGCGTTTCATTAACAAAACCTGCTGAACAAGCACAGACGTAGTCCTTTATTGGGATGCCTGCATCAATGATAGCCAGAGTAGCTGCATTTACACAGGCACAGTAATTTCCACCATCTGATTGTAATACCTGAAAAATAAATATTGTGAGAAAGACTCAAAAAAGATCAACATATATACTGGATTAATGAAATATTTTCACAATAGCTATCAATAAGAGTAAGAAACAAAACAAGTATGATAATTGTCAATTTCAGAACAAATCTTTGTAAATTATTTTTGTATTCTAAAGAATACAAGAATAGAGCTTAATAATATAGAAAAGATTCAACGCACAAAAAAGCTCCTCTTTGATAAACCTTAAAATAATTCTGAGTATTATTCATCCATAGAGATTTGTATTTAGATATGACAAGAAATCAGCAAAATTTCTTAACATTAAATAAATTTGTAAATATATGTTAAACGTACAATTAAAAGTATACCATTTTATAAAAGATAAAATAACATGATCTTGATGGTAGAAAAAAGATTTTTTAGCAAAATTTAAATTTAAAACATGTTTTTATATTTTAACTAAAAATCAAGTAATTTGAATTTTATTTTAACATTTTCAGATAACATATATATATATATATATATATATATATATATATAATTTTGTGTCAATGAATATAAATATTTTAGGAAATCAAACCTTGAGCCATAATAATATAATAATTATCAATGTGTATTTATTTACATATTTAGTGGGTTGAGCAGTAAATAAGTAGTGAGAAGAGAGGTAAATCAACTTAAGTCAGTAAATTTATGAATAATTACTTCCCTTAGATATTTTAATAATCTATACAAATAAAATATCTGCATTCAGACACAGTTCCTGAGCAAAATGAACCATTTAATTAATCAGTTCCGTTACTCCCAAGTTTCTTAGAATGCAGTTTTATTAGTTCATGTGAGGCACTTAGATACCTTTGTCTATTATGTAATTGTCTTACTTCAACCTCGTCTTGAAAGACTGTCATTGCCATCTTTGTCATTCCATTGCTAATCTTCTTAGTGATATTCCCATTTCACTGTTACATTAAACATATAATTTTTAATATTAAAAGATATTGAGCAAAAAGTGATTTATATAATACCCAGAGTAATCAATGAATCATAGATACAACTGAATGTCTGAAACATATAAAGGGAATGGATTAATTAAACAATTTTTTTTAAAATCAGTCCAAAACTAATGTTTGCAAAAATTCATGGACAATTAACATAATTTATTGCCCTTTTGTTCTTTTAATATGTATGTGCACAAAACCTTTCAGAAAAAGTTTTCTTTTAAAGCAACAAAATCATTATCAAATCTTTTACAATTATGTTGTTTTTTTTTTTTGTTTTTTTTATATACATGAGCCATATTTAAGTCAATGAGCCTGAAAATCATTTATATTCTGATATTAATGACCTCAATTATAAAAATTTTTACCCAAACCTTTCATACATAGACATTTTATATTTCATAGCAAAGTAAATATGGTTATTTTTTATATTTAAAGAATCTTTCAGATTAAAAAGATCCACATTTTTTTCAAGGTTTTAATTTCTTTTTGCCTGCTTCTATTACAACAATGTTTTTGATGATGATGACAAGAATTTGCTACAGTTTCTTCTCCTTGTGCAATGGCTGGAGTCATTTTCTTTACAGAAAAGATTTACTGTTGTTTTCTACCTGGTATAAAAAGAAATATTATCCCTGTTCAACACCATAAATTCCTTTGTGCATAATCATTACTAACCAGACTGAATGAAACCCACCTGCAAGCAAAAATAAAAAGGAAAAAACCATAAGAAACAAAACCTCTGGTATCTGTTGTCGCTGATGTGCAAAAACAATGCTGACCACTTAGCCTCCCACTGTCTGTTCCTCTCCTTGGTCCATTTTAACCCTCTTTTCTTCATCCTCTGTTAATCTAGCTGCTACAGTTGCAGCAGCTATCTGTTATATCATATTGATCATTACTTCTTTCTATTTTTCTTTTAGAAGCCTTTACTTTTGACCACTCCTCTCTACTGACCACTACCTCCTACAACCACTTAACATAGAAAACTGCTACTGCCACTGTCCACTACAGATTTCCCTTTCACAAAGTACTCAGATATGTTCACTGGAATCAATAATGAAGAAGCTGACCATTTACCCAGCAGAAATTAAGGATTTCAGCTGAATCAGACAAACAACATATTATGCTCATATTCTTTTGTTTTAATGATCTAAGTCGTAAGAAACATGTTAAAAAAAGAAATAAATAAATATGACCTGGCAATAAAATAGATCTAAAATTATGATCTATTATTCAGTAAAGCAAGAACAATCTACCCCTGTAGGACAATAGCCTAGTGACTTAAGACCATTTGGTTTGTGAATTTGATGACATAGTAATTGTGAGTTCAATCCCTGGGATCGACAGGGTGTATTTAAACTCAGTGGAAGCAGTACTAAAAATAAGAACTAGATGAGAGATCCCTATACAAGGGCAGTGGAATGAGAACAGTTTACCCCAGTCTACAAAGTTTTGTAGTCATTACTGTCCCTTTTTGACAAGTTAAAAATTTTGTAATTTCACAAAATCTTCCCAAATTAGATATATGTATCAGAAAAGGTATTCATATCCGTGAGAAAAGAACTATATTATTGAATTCTTCATTCCAAAATTAGTAAAATTTTCAGGTATCTGTCTCTAATGAATACTTTTAACCTGTTTTTACTTTACTTTCAAATTGCAATTCTGCCAGTTTTTATGTGCTGTAAATATGAGATTTTTTCTATTGAGATACTACTGAAAAAAATTAGTTTCATTTTTGTTGTGCTATGAACCATAACAAGGTATTAACCATTAAAATGAAATTTATATGAATTGTCAAATGTACCCTTCTGTATTATGACGTAACTATTTTTCTCAGGGTTTAGGCTGGTCTGATGTAATGATTATTTATGCTATTAGTATTATATTTCTTTTACTTCAAAGACCACCTATATGACATTACATTTATACTGATTTTTAACCATTCTGAAGCCTACATTTTCAGTTAGACAATGTTGAAATTGGCTGCTGGCCCTAGAGCATACAAGAAAGAAAGGTGAAGAACTTTGTTAGTTTAGTATTTACGAAGATAAATTTGATACCATGTTTTGCTTTGTCAAGCTCTATGCCTGTATTAAATGATTTTAGATATATTGAAAATAAAACTAGTTTGATAACAAATGTTAGGAAAATTCCTCTGAAAAAAAAAAAAAAAAAAAAAAAAAAAAATTGCTATCAGATATACATACTAACTGATTTTTGCTATTTCCTGAAATCCATCTTTTCAAGATAAAAACAAAACATGGACTTGTTGAATATATATTTTTTTATTTATTTTCTCAAGTTTCCTAATGCACCAAAAGAAAGAGCACTAAAATTTCACTGTGGTAAATGATAACATTAAGTATTTTCGACATGTTACCTTGAAATAACAGCAAATAATGCATGTAAAAGGTAAGATTGTAAATATAAAAAAATTGTGTAATTGAACTTTAAAATAGTATCAAAAGTCTGACCCCTCTATTATAATAATGATAACCCTATTAGTCTCCTACCACTTTTTGGCAAAGTTTTCAAGGTTTTAATCAATACTGAAGTGGTTAAGCATCTTACCTGTCATGATCTACTCTCTGACAAACAATATGGCTTCCGTTTTGCCAGGTCTAATGCTGATGTGCTAACAGCCATCACTGAATATGTATATCAAGTTCTTGATAATAACAGTGAAGTTCAAGCTGTCCACTGCTCTTGAAAAGGACCTCCAATCTGTGGTTAACTGGAGCAGGAAATGGCTCATAAATTTTAATGCCCCTAAAACAAAACTGCTCTCATTTAACCACCAGAGAGAAATTTTCCTGCCTGCCATCAGTATGGCTGATGACAGACTCATGGAGAGCAACACACTGTGCATATGTTTCAATTGACTTGAAGTGGAATGACTAAATCAAATCAATAGCTGCTTCTACTGCAAAGAAAGAAGAGTCATTGTGTGATGCCAGAAGGTTTTTAAAGAGTTCATCTAGCACATTTACAAATCTACCATTCATCAAATACTGTTGCCATATCTGTTCTGGTGTCTCTGCTGTATATCTCAAGATTCTTGACAAAATCCAAAGAAGGATCTGCAGTGTAACAGATCCTGACTCAGCATCTCATCTTCAGTCACTTTCTCACCAATGTGGCATGGCTTCCCTCTGTCTTTTCTACAAATATTTTCATGGCTACTGCTCTGACAAGCTTTTTCCCCCCTGGTGCCTGGACTACATGAGTTAGTGCGCTACTAGATTGGTATTTAGGTCCCACCCTTTTACTGTTGAATTAGTTAAATATAACTGCCACTTCTACTCCAACAGTTTCTTTTCTCCTGCCTCCCACCTTTGCAACACCTGTCCATTTCCTTGCTTCCCTGATAACTACAATCTTCAAATATTTAAATGCAATGTCAACAGCTATCCATCCCATTCAGCATTTATCCTTTTTTCCAGTCTTTTTGGTGACCAGAATGGATTAACTACAGATAAATGTATTTCTTTAGGTATAATTTAAATTAAAAAAAAAAAAACATTAGTCAAATTTAAAATCATACATTTTTCAAATGACCAAATTTTTTTTTTTTTTTTTTAAATCAAAACACTGTCAAATAACAAGCTAAACACCAGTGGAGTAAAAAAATTGTTAAATCAGAAAGATATATATATATAATGCATGTCCCTATAAGTAGTACATAATAAAACATGAATTCATACAAAAAAAAAAAAAAAAAAAAAAATTAGAATAGAATATAACATTGAAAAATTTGTTTTGACACAAGATATTTAATTATCATGTTTTAAATATAAAAAAAAAAGAATATATATATATATATATATATATATATATATATATATATATATATATATATATATATTAGGTATCTCCATGAGATTGCTATTATTTCTATCTTTGCAAGATTTTCAAAATTAATGTGTCATAAGAAAAAATGAACAAAAATTTGCCATGTTATTTACTAAAGTTTCGGTGATGACGAAAAACAAGATTTTTCAATCAAAAG